CATTGCTTTGTTCATCATCTCCGTATTTTGTAGTATTGGGTATACGGTAATCCTTAACCCTATTTGTCAACTTTATTTTCATTGTTTCACAACACTGTTCCCACCAACGAACATCCTGTTGCAAACCAAAAAAGGTCGAAAACTGAAATCAGGCAAGAAACCGAGCTGGAAAAAGAGCATTCAAACTGCAGGTATAATCAAAGTTGACGAGTTGGACAGAGAGCAATAAACCATGCCACCGGGATTTAAGCGCTCACGGGCACTGTGGGATGCGACAAGAGACGGGGGATGGAGAGCCTGGGCGGCTGCTATATGTTATGAACTGCAGCCCATACGATTGTCGAAGGCCAATCGGAAACACGCTGTCGAGACGGTCGAAAGTCTTCTTCGAAATTTGCTTTCCCTAGTTCTTGGTATTCCCCCTGTGTCCAAATCAATTGTCTTGTTCGCCGCCAGTCGTAGCCCAAAGCAGTGGTTGTTTCTGGGCGCAGTTGTTTCCTATTATTACTTCATTCGATGGGTTCACGAGTAAGTGGTTGTTGGTGGCTTGATCACCCAAGTTTCTAGATTTTCTCGATCCTATCCCAATCCTATCGCGGAGAGTACCAACTGCAATCAATATCTCATGCTAATCCATTCGTGTTCCTCATATCATCGTGGTTTCTTTTTCCTCTGTAGGACACTGGATGCCGGTCCAGCGGTACTGATCCTCACGGCACTGACCTTAATATTTACCATCGGTTTGGGTGACGACGAAAACCAGGGTGGACTTTCCGCCTATTCTGTCTTCAACAGAGGCTTCGAGAAATTGATGGGTTCGGTCGATGCAGACAATCTCCTGGCGCAGCACGTTGGTGGAGGAATGATGATGAACATGAACATGAACATGAACCATCGTGGCGCCGAAGATCAAGCGCCGCCCCGTCCTCCGAGGCACGAAGAACAGGAGCGCCGTCAGCCACTAGCGAACGAGGGCGAAGCAAATGCCGAGGGTGAGAACGACGACGGCAACAACAACAACGGCAACAACAATGATAACATCGGCAACAACAACCGCGCAAGGAAATCGGGGAAGAAGGCGCGAAGGCGCGACCTCGACCAGAGAAGAGAGCTGAGACGGCAACGCGAGGCTGCGATGCGGGTAGGTCTGAACGGAGGAGGCGACGATCCCGTTGACGCATTGGCAATGCAAAGGATTATCGAGGAACAAATAGCCGCAGAAAACAATCACGGATAAGAAATTAGATGTCTTCTACGCCTCTAACATTTAAAGACTCCAAAACGATAACATCGATCTGCTGTTCGTTGATTGCGCAGTTGGAAGAACTAGTTTACATTGATTTAGTTATTTATTTGTTGATTGAACAAATGTCATCGGATGATCCAATAACCAGTGGGATGCCCAAGTGCAGTCTTACGATGTCGAGCAAAATCATAATGATCATTCCATACCCACAACTGGATACAATGGTGTCCCAAACAGAAGTTTTTCTTTTCGCTTCTGCATTGTCGATATCTTTGTCAAAGACAAAAAATGCCGGAAAACTAACAATGAAATATATTCCATAGAACGCGGAACCGACCGTGTAGGCCATGTTTCTATCCTCAAATGAATAATCTGGGTAGGCACTTATTGTAAGCGTCTCCATGAAAGCCGTGAAATACGCAAATGTGAAAACCACAGTAACATACAGGATGCTTCGGACCATTCCAGGTACGTAGGTGGTCACAACTTTTCTCAACAAGAGATTCGAAAAGACGTGGTAGGTCGAAAAGTAGAAATGCGTAGCAAAATATAAAGCCAATGGAACGTTGTTGAGTCGATGTGCCGGCATAGTGTACTTCGCGCGGAGGACAGAGTAGAAGTAATGAGTATACCAGTAGTTGCCGATGAAACTGTACACCGCAATCCACACGTTTGCTTTGAACGAATAGCGCTCTATCAAGGGACGCTTCTCGTCTGGGGAATCAGGAGTACCAGCGGACGCAAAAATTACTGGCTGCAGCAAAAATGGTAGAGATAGTCCCACGCACACCTTCATGTAGCTCCATTTGTCAAAGTCTTCGTATAGCCCGAAGGCCACGATACAGCCGAAAGCGAAGATCCAGATTGGAGTATAACAGAGGGCGTAAATTTCATAAGCTCGTTTTGATGGCTCCGACGTTGGGTTCGGTAGCCATCGGGAATCGCCCCCCTTGATTTTCGTCTGCATTGCCACCAGGCTTACGATCACGGCGAGCATGGAGCCCAATATCGCCACCATTTTGAAAGCGACATCAATACTTTCTGTTTCGCTCATGATCTTCACGGTCTGTGATTCTCCACTGTATGATAGAGAACGGGTGTGGATATAAGTCTATGGCACAATTGCCACCTATATCGATACGATTACTCGACCGAACTGATAATATTGTCCTTTGTCAGTGGTCACCGTCTGGATAGCCGAGCAAAATCATGTTTGGGGAATGGCTTTGCTGACAAAACCGCTTGGATATTACAGTACAGTACGGTACTACTGTACATCCTTTAAAAAATCTACTCGTGGTTGCCGGCCAAATCATAACTACGAAAGCGAACAACCTTTCTCTCACTCTCAAAATTCAAAAAGATCCCGCGCACGTCGACCACTTCGTACTACTCGTATGTATGTTGTACGTTAAGTGCATACTATCATACAGTAGGTACGGTAGTTCGTACGGTACTCGTATCATTCCTGTCGCCTTGGTTTTCCGCAACGCAGTAGTACGTACGAGCACTGGTAGCCAAAAACAAGTTGTCTGTCTTTACACGTCAAAATAAATTCCACGCGTAAGAAATCACTCAATTTAACAATGAACAACAGGTATGTACCGTATGCTGCGAAAACTGGTACGTACAACTTCTTGTACCCGTACTACGACCTCGTACGGTACATAAGTACGGTACGCTACATCATCACGGTTTGCACCAAGTGGTATCAACGCTGAATCGCACGGTTGATGCAATATCATTCCGTTCACTCTTGTTCTCAGATTTTCAAGATTGACACGGTACGAAGCTGTAAAAGGGTCGAAGGACGATACGATACGATACGATACGATACGATACTCGTACTTGTAGTACTTCATACTCGGCAACCGATCTAAAACAAAGTACTACGAAGTATTTACTGCCAAGCAGAATATCTTGCCAAGATACAATAATCCGAAAAGTACTGGTTTCAACCAGATCGCAGTGGCATGAATAATTTTATTCTCCCTTTCCTTGCCATCGCGAGTTTGTTCGGCAACTATCGGTATGCCTCCGTTGGCGTCCTGGCGCTTTCCGAAGCGAACAAATCATCCACGATCGTTTCGAATGGTCTGAGAAACGTAGGGAACACATGCTACATGAATGCACAGCTTCAGTGTGCTTTTCATATTGAAGCCGTACGAGACATTGCTACATCTGTGACGCCATCCCAGATGCTTTCTTCATCGGCAGATGCCAATGACGACGACGAGTCTGTTGAAGTCGATCGAGAAGAAACAACCGAAGCAGCGCTGGCCTTAAAAGAAGTATTCGAAAACATGATTGAGGCTGCCACAAACCAGGGATCGTTGCCTTACATGCCCAGATCATTTTGCGCGCGACTCGGCATTCCACCCATGGTACAACAAGATTCACAAGAGTTTTGGAAATTATTGCTGCCAGCTGCTGGGGTAGAAGAGCTTTCAGATCTATACAAGGGCGTGTACGAGGACTACATATCCGCAATCGACGGGTCCGGAAGAGAAAAACGGAGGGACGAAGTCTTCTTGGATCTATCGCTGGATGTTGCAACAAGGTAAGTCGTTATATCCTTCTCGACGACCTTGGATATCGTCTTTTTCCAGACGGATTATTTCACCGGTTTTGCACTTTTTTTGCGCTCGAACAAAACATGGTAGTTCCTCGCTCCAGGAATCACTGGAGGAAAGTTTCGGTGAACCCGAACTGCTGAGCGTGGCTCAGGGCAACGGATGGAGACCAGAGAAGGGAGCAGACAAGGTAGATGCCCACAAGGGGCAATCTTTGGTTGCGAAAGGCTTGCCACCTATATTGCAATTTCATTTGAAACGTTTCAATTACGACTGGCAAACCGACACCACAACGAAACTGAACAATCGATTTACCTTTCCGAAATCTCTTGATCTAGCATCGATTTGTGTCGATGTGGAAGGAAGTGATCCCAGGGCTGAGTACGAGCTTCAAGCTGTAATCGTTCACATGGGGGAATACGACATCGGCCATTACTATGCCTATGTTCGACCAGATATAGAAAGTAATACGTGGTACCGCTTCAATGATGACAACGTTGATGAAGTAACATTCGAAGATGTTACTGCGGATTCATTTGGTGGACAATATCAAAACAGTGATAAAGGTGGTGGTTTACATCGACGAATCGGACGTTTGTTTAGGAACAGGAACAAAAATTCATTTGGATGGGGAGGGAGGACAAGCAATGCATACGTTCTTCAATATGTTCGAAGAAACGGAACCAAATGCCTGGATCATACATACGACTAGTAAGAGTAGATGCGAAGACAAAATCAATAATGCCCCGTGCTTTCTATTCTTCATTTGTATGCGTCGGGAATCACGTTTGGACCGTCTGGCCAAATTCCTTTCGCAATAGAGACCATGTCTTCACTCATCGGTGCAATGAACACCATATGCTCGCCAGTGATCGGATGACTTATCTCCAATCTGTGTGCATGCAAGAGTGGTCGCTCGATACCATGAACTTTCTGCAATCGTTTGTTCCAATCCGAAATACCGTAAACATCGTCGCCATAAATAGGTGTGTGTCGGTCTTGTAAGTGAACTCTGATCTGGTGGGTTCTCCCTGTCTCGATCCTTACCTGTACCAAACTAAGCTTGCCATCAAATTGCAAGGCATCGACAAATGATAACGCGCGTCTTCCAGACTGAGACGAAGACTGGAATGAGTTTTTGAATCGCAGTCTATCCTTCGGTGAGATACCACTGGAATTCTTCCTATGCGGATCAGGAACAACTCGCATTTTCTGACGATGAATGGGGTGGCGTCCAATTGGCTTATCAATTTTTACTCGCTTTCCTGGATTGCCAACAGTTACTGCCAGATAGGTTTTTTTGACTTTTCTCGAAGCGAAAGCTTCCGATAGCTTCGTTAACGCCTCTACCGTTTTAGAGACAATTAGAATTCCTGTCGTCCCTTTGTCCAATCGATGAACGATTCCAGGACGAAGCGAAAGAATATCGTCGTCATCATCGTTTCCAATCAATGTACTCTTTCCGTCACCATCGACAAAATCACCGGTACCATACGGACTATCGTTTGCCAAATAGTAAGCTAGTGCGTTCACAACTGTTCCATCCCAATTTCCAGCAGCAGGATGAACGACCATTCCAGCATCTTTGTTTATGACTACCATATGCTCGTCCTCATAAATAATCTTTAATGGGATGTTCTGGGCAATGATTTCATCCGGCCTTTCTTTCTTCGGTAAGGTGACTTTCAAAGTCATTCCAGCTTCGACTTTAAACGCTTTGCGGTCCAATAAAACTTCATTCTCGGTTCCATTTTTTGTGATAATTTGATGGACACAACCATCTGCGACGAGATTTCCGCAGGCTGAACGAGATTGTTCGGGCTCCAAAAGTTTAGCGAGAACAGCATCGATTCGTTTCCCCTTCAGTTTGTCCGGAACAGTTACTATTTTTATTGGATCCTCTTTGATGGGAAGAGATACATGGTTGCCGTCTTCGACATCACGAACATCATATCCCAACGAATCAACATTTTCTTCGAGGTCTTCCAGGTCCAAAGCAGCCTCGAACGCCTCGATAGAAGAGAGGTCAAAGTTTGACACGGGCGGAGGCTTCGCCCACAGCATTATGTCTTGTTTGGAATTCCTGCAGCATAATCGATTGTTTGTGGAGTGCGTCAGCGGGGAAAGAGCGAAGGAAAAATACCAGTGCGGTAACCCAAAATTCCCTCCATAACAAAGAAATAGGGCAAAATATATTGCTGKTGAGCTTCGATATTGCTTTATCATTTGAAATTTTCTGCCTCGAACTCGGTTATGTTATGTCATTCGGAGCACCTCTTGATCGCTGCTTTTCTTCCGAATAAGTTTGTATCGTTACGTAATTCATGCCACTATTTTTTACGTTGGGAACCGTGATGTTTTTACGTACTCGAACGCACCCGCACTGTGTAAGAACTAAACAAATTTACAACTTTGAGTCCACTCTACCCAAGTACCGTATGTGTGGCTGAGCTGCGCGATTCTCGGTCGTGGATGATGAGTCGCGTTGATCATCCCGTGTTGGACCAATGCGGTAGAGCTACCAAAGGCAAGCCCAAGAGATATTGGCAATTCCCGTACAAAAACTGGAAATTTTTAGCTCATTTCTCATTTTTACAGTTTAAAAAAATGTCGGAAACTGTCATTCAGTCAAAAATAAAAATATTTTGATTGTTTAATTTCTCGCTGGCTCTGATAAATACTATTCAGTAGTGCCGGGTGATGGAAATTTTGAAGTATCAACCACTTATATTCTTGTTTTATCCACACTACTAGTAGGAAGCGCTCCTAATACTAGAAATATTCAGGGAATTCTTGAAGTTTCTTTTTTGGTGTGGAGGGGGGGGAGAGTAGAAATGGAGACAGGAAAATGAAAAAATTGGCAGCCATTACTACTATATTGGGCTTTCCTTCAGTACTAGTGTCCTATCAATCCTTGACCAAAATCACACATGAATGATGACATATGCAATATCTGTTGGGCCAAAGTACCCATATCTAGGAGTTTCCAAAGGTGTCTACCATCTCCAATCTGCTGATTAGCCATGGTACAGGAAGGTGATCTTTCTTTTGATGCATGATGCTTGAATTTTTTTCTGACAATAGGTTGTTGTTTGGACAACTAAGAGTCTGATATTATGGCAGCAACCTTTGTTTCACTGTTTCTGTGTAAATTTTCAGAAAACATTGTAACAGTTTGTTTGAAACAACTATCTGAAAATGTGTGTTCCGTGTTCCATTGCCGTTTTGGATGATGGTTGGACAAGTGGTTTCAGACAAAAAGCAACTGAAGAATTAACATAACCAACTGACCAACAAATTGTCAAAGCCCATTTGCACAGAGGTTATTGTTGCCTTTATTCCTTGGGTAACATCTTGGCAAAAATCGTGGTCAAGCCAGCCTGCCCAACTGATTTTTTCAACTGTTTGAATAAACACCAATCTGGCTTGATTGGAGTAGTATGATTTAAGGGTTTCCTACCAATATTTTGCCAATCTCACCAACATCTCATGGCTGAGCTGACCAGTTTTCTTGGGAATCATAGATCTCACTTTTTGCTATCAACTCCAATCAAATCAAATGAGTCCAATGACGAGGAAGAATAAAGGGAGGAGATTTCTAAATTTGTGGGCAAATCTGTTGAAAAGGGATGTAATGAGCTTATTTTTTTGGTACCAGACGTGGTACAGAATAAAACTTTTAGGTTGAGAGTCAAAAATTTTGGGGTACAAACAGGTAAAAACTGTCATAGAGAAACAGTTAACAGCTGTAGTAGCTCTAGTGGTATGTGGTATTTGGATGGATAAAAAATGGGGAAAATTGTCATTTTTTCATCATATACTACTTAGAGTTTAATCAGAGTGCACGAGATTACGTGTACTCTTAGTAGGTGTTAAGTGTGTATGAAAATTGAAATTATAAGATTAAGATTATCGAGCGTGTTCACGAGAATTCTGAAGTTCTGATCAGATCCTCATGTAGATCTGGTAGGGAATCTACATGGAGGTTCTTCTATTCCGGACTCGTGACGTCTATGTTCTTCGTAAGATATTCTAACTCTCGATATCTTGGACCTCTTACGATCCTCGGACCTCTTACGATGGATCCTATGATACATAGATATGAACAGTACCTTACGATAGGTACATAGGAATGGTATGCTCCTTCACTCCTTTCTTCGAAGCTTCGTATCGTACGTATCCTTCTAGTACGTACGTATCCGTTGCATTGTCCCACACAGTGATATTGATATATTGAAATATCACTCATTACTAAACTGTAGCAATCATATCTTCAATATTTTC